AGGTCAAAGCGATAACCTGCGGTCAACATTGTACGCTTCTACTTATAGAATATAAACCCTTTGAAACTTCTGTTATTCACCTGTCTAAGCTATTTTGAGAGATTTAAAAATATTGGCGTTTTAATTTTTGGTTATATATTTAGAATAGTATATAATATATTGTTTTCGAAATCCTTCGAAATTATAAACCAAAATAAATGTTTGGAAATTCGAATGAAAATCAACAATATGTATATACATATTGCGATAATTGAGAATGAAATTCATGGAGCTTAAGATACTAAATATTGTAAAAAAGATCGGGGATCTGACTTAAAATACTCTATATATATACTACTTCGTTTTCCTAATATAATAATATATATATATATATAAAACATATAATGTTTAAAATATAAAATGTTGTAAAGGAGATCAGAGATCAAATTTAAAATTCTCTATATATAATATATACTACTTTTATATATATGTTTATATAATATGTAATAGGTGTTTGTAAAATATTGTAAAGGAGATCAGAGGTTGTACCCAAAATACTTTAATATATAAACTACCTACATATATATTAATATATAAAGAAGTAGGATAATTTAATATGACATTCATGAAATTTAGGATTCTAAAATGATCTAAATTCTCTATATACCTACATATATACTATATACCATAAATATATACATATATATATATATAATATATTCAATAACATTTATATAATATTCTAACAGAGTTCAGAGATCTCACTTAAAATACTTTTATATATATATTTCCTATATATATGTAATATATAATGCATATGGTGTGTATATATATATATACAATATAATCTTTAAGACATATAATATTGTAAAGAGTATCAGAGATCTCCTTAAAATGCTTCTGTATATGTATATACTGCATACATATAATATTATAATCAAAAATTTGGATAATTTAAAATGAAATTCATGAAATTTAAGATTCTCAAAGGACTTTAAGCTCTATATATACTTATATATTGTATTGTAGAATCTTTAATATTATATAAATAATGATGTATGCGAGCTCACAGACCTCACTTAGGATACTTTTATATATAAACTACTTATATATACTTATGTATATATATACATATGTATATATTCATTTACTTTTATATATATATTCTACTTATATATATTATATATACATATGTATTAATAAATTTTGGGATAATTGAGGGTTACATTTTTTATTTTTTTGCATCCATAATAATTACGGTGCCACCTTTTTTTTCATTATTAAAAATATATTTATTATGTTTTAATATTAATTTTTTTTTTTATTTGCACATGAATGCAGGTGTTATTGGTCACTATTGTTCCCAAGCATATTGTTTTGAGATCATTTCTGCGTCGCCAAGGTCTGTAAGGTATGACAAGCACCACCCACAATTTTCGTATTTATTTAGATATTTTCTGAAAATTTATTGTTACATAAAAAAAACTAGGCATTAAAGGTTTTAAAAATATTTTTTAGCCAAGAAAAGTATGTTCTATTAAAATAAACAAAAAATAAATAAAGGCTTTCAAATTTTGAATACCATTGTACTAAGATATTAATTTTAACTAAACTTTCTTACTGCTTATAAAATATCAAATTTTCGGATGATTAGTGGACTATATTTTAAGTAAACTACGAAAACAATTTTTTTTTATTAAATATCCACCCGGAAAACTGTTTTTTATTTATATTTTAATTAAAATTTTCGTTTTATAAAATTTTTTTAATATTCATTATATAATAGATTCTTAATAATATAGTTACAAGCAGAATCTTTGTAAAACTGTAAGCCATAGCTCAAAAAATATAGCTTCATTCGATAAACTGTATAGTTTAGATCAGCAAAACCATATAATATTTTGTGAATACCTATTTTTTTTTAAGATTCTGTGAAAAAGATTTTGGGTTAAAAAAATAACTCAAACACTATTTAATTAATTTATTTGCAATCCACCAAAAAACATACTTAGAAATTATTTCTTTGATATTGCATGAGAATATGTTATCTTATTTTTAATGTTAACAGATTTCGTTTAAATATGTTTAAAATATTAAAATTTATTTTTTTTTTTAATTTAAGGACTTTGTTGATTTTTTGTTAATTTTATAATCTGGATAAATTTTAATTTACTTAACATAACATGAGCTCTAAAATATTGATTAACAGCTAAAGGTTATTAAACTAGAACGTCTAATATGGACAAGCTGGAACAAAAATCCTCGAATTAGGGCAAAGTCTTGCGGTACTTTTCGGCTATTTCTAGCGTAAAGACAACTCTCTAAAACCCAACACTAAGCAAAAGGAACGTTAAAGGTGAAACTTGGCTTCTTAAGGAAAATCTGAATGCATTTCGCATTCGAATTCGCATGCAACTAAATATAACTTTTTAAAATGCTTCAGATAACACCACACAAATATGTATCATTCAAAAACTAGCAACAATTAAAGCATGAAATGTCGCAAGAATTTTCCATGACTCCAGCAATTATTGCAAATCCAAATAAAGACTTGACAATATTTCCACACCAGAAAAAAAAAACAAAAAAATTCAAATTCAATTGCCAACACAGACACGCTTTCGCCATCAAGCGCACACGTATTCCGATTTGACACACAAAATTACGACCATTACGACAACGGTGATTTGTTTGCTGCGAGCCAGAACCAACGCAGCGACCATCATCTATACCAATAACGGTGCTATTGGTATTGACGCAGTGACAGCACCGTGCCGGTCGAGCACTCGCCAGCAACTGAGCGCGCGCAGCGGAGATCAACTGGCAGCGGGCAACGGGCAATGAGCCACGGCCGCTAGACCAAATGGGCCACCAAAGAGCGTTGCGAATCGCCTCCTTAACGGCTCTTAAAGAGCGCACAAATTCCTACCTCCTGTGTGGCTACGAAGAAAACTCAAAGAACCTACACCGACTCACACCTACACACATATCCGTGAAAGTGTGTGCTATAAGAAAAACCTGCGGAGAAATGTGCGACGGAAGAAGGAAAGAAAGAAGAATTGCTGTTGGGCAGTGACGATGACGTCTTTATCGCACCCACGCGGCAATTGGCCACTGGAAGCAACCAAAGTAGAAGAAGTTGACGGGTGACGAGGTAGCAAGACAGCAACAACAACGCTTAGTGCTGTCTTATTGAGCGTATCCTGTTGGCAGGATTGCGCGTATCCCCTCCCCTCCCCCCCGTGACAGAGTCACGCGACGCTGTGACGGCTCGCGACATTTTGGTTGGTGCCGCCGCTGCACCATTTGTCCCTGAGCGCAGTGCCCCGTCGCTCTCTCATTGCCACCGTATAGTCATCTAGCCATCCGCTGCATACCACGCGCTTGGTCCTTGGCTTCTGTGGCGCGTTCGGTCAGCTGCCCCTCTTTTTTATGGTTGCCGCATTTCGCTGTGTTAGTTAACCGTATGTTTCTTTCGCTTTATTTGCTGCGCTTGTGTGTGATTTTACGTTTTTCTCAGCGCGGTTTGTCACCTTCTTGTTTTGGTGCTCCGCACTTTTGGCCAATTTGGTTGTGATTCCACAATTTCCCTTCACCCCAATCGTTGTCGTCGCGTCGTAACGGTGCGCCCGCCTAACCAAGTTCGGTTTGTCTTGTGGAGCTCCTAAATTTTGTGGAGATTTCGGTTGAATTGTTTGTTGTTTGATTGGATTTTGGGTGCACAGCTGTTTTTGCTTTGCAACTTAGAGTTGTTTTTGGTTTATTGAGAATATGCTGCTTGCTAATGCACTCGGATAATTGGTGCGGAGTGAATTTGTTGACCGAGTTGTTTTTGTTTTGCATATGCCATCTAAAGTTTTGAAAAACATTTTAAGCATTTTTTTGGGGTTGTCAGTATTGCATACCTTTTTGGAGTGCGTGATTTAAATTATTTATCAGGTGTAATCTTATATAATATGTTAAATGAAAGCTTCACAACTTAAGCATATGTTTTCGAGTTAATATTTGAATTCTTCATATGCATCCTCAAAGCTTCTAGAAAGGTTGCCCCAAAAGGCGACGTAAAGTTATAAATATGCAATATTAAGCTTTGCTGAGCTTTCATTACAAGCAGAGAATTTAAAAATAAATATTTTTGCTGACTTTTTACGACAGTTTCAGACAAAAGTAAGAAGTTAAGAAGTTTTTGTTTGTGTAGTAGCTGTTTTTGTAATTGGACTGAGTTTTCCCTTCAAGCAGATAATTTCGTATTTATAATTTTCTTTAACTTTTCTTAAGCTTCAACCAAAATTTGCGAGTTTTGAAAGTTTTCTTAGCAGGACTTTTATAGTTTGAGAATTATTTTTAGGAGGATTTTGCTCCAGTAGAATTTCAGGCCTATCAAAAGTTTTAGTAAAAGATTTTATGAAAGCTCCAATTTGTGAAAGCTTCGTTCGATTAAAGTTTAATTAAAGCTTCGTTCAACGAAAAATTCCTGCCATGAAAGCTTGGTTCAATGAAAGCTGCCTTTAGTGACAGTATTTTAACAATCTTGATATTCTTTTACAATATTTTCATATATTTTATTATATATTTTTATCATGAAAGAGAGACTTAATTGAAAAATAACGTTTAAAAAATATTTTGGAAAATATTTGATTCATGTTATAAGCTTTTGTTCTGGTTATTTTCTATAGTTTATTTTTTTTTTTTTGTAATGTTAAACAGTTTCAAGCTTTAAAAATGTTTTCTTCAAATTAAAAAAGAAATTCAAGAAAAAAATTTTAAATTAATTTTGTTTTTTGTAAATTTCTTTTTTATATTCCTTGTGGGAGGAAATTCAACTATTTCTGTTACAAAGAAAAGAAAAGGTAAACGAAAGAGTGTGTCAGGTACTACGAATATTTCTCCTCCAAATAAAATGTTTGACTATGACCTTGACTCAATTCCTCAAAACAAATATCTATATACATATGTATAGATATACATAGACAACATAAGTATTATATAATATAATGTTATATATATATAATATACGGCATATAATATATGAAATATTATGTAAATATTTATAAACAAAGCATATGCTTATCTTATACTTATATATGGATCTATGTACATATATTTTAACCTCCAAATCGCCAGGCTGTGATCTCCAACAACTTTCTTGTCAACATAATTAAGACCCAAATTAGAAAATTCTGAACAACTCACTTATGCCGTGTTTATCGTTGGACGGTCTGAAAGTGCTACATGCCACAAGAACATGCAAGACGCTCAATGCAAGGCACAAGACTTCAGCGGTCGGTCAAGTTGTTCCTATTACTGGACCCACACGGCTGGGTGCCACTGTGCTGAGTTTTCACAAATTCTTTTCGCAATTTTCCGCATTTCCCCCGCTGTGGCGCACTGTGCACACTTGCTGCGCTTAGGCCTTCGCACATATACATGCCTTTGTTTATATATATATATATATATATATCATATATATACTTTTGTACATAAGCGCGTTTATTTTTTTGGTTTCGTGATTTTTTTGTGCCTCTTCTTCAATTCCACCAGCGCATGCACATCTTTATGACCCGCTGTTTCTCCGCGCTGCCATATAATTTATCCATGTGCAGCACCCCGCCTCCCTGTGCACACAGCCCGACGCGTGTAGTGGTGCGCGAGTGCGCTCTCAACGCCCGTTGGTTTGTTGGCTCTCAATTAATTTTTTTTTTTATTTATTACAGTTTTTTATGCACTGCTTGTTGTTTTTGTTGTGTTATTTTTATTTTCATTTCACTCGGAGGCGCGCGTTTTGCGCTCAATTTTTATATTTTCCCCAATTTGGTTGGCCTGCCACAAACACTCTCACACAGTGTGCTCTTCGCTAGTACGTGTGTGTGTGTGTATGCGTGCGACTGAGCGTCGAGTAGATTTTGTATGTGTTTGTGTGTGACACCTTCGTGTATGTTTGTGTGTGTGGCACGTTCATACAGCTATGTATGTGTTACGCGTTTGTGTGCCTGTGCAATCACTCATGCATGTGCGCGTGTGCTTGTGCGCCGTGTGGCAAGGAGATTGCTTGCCACAATGGAAAAATGGGAAATTTTTACTGTGGCTGTTGTTGTGGCAATGGTGGTTGTTGATACCTGCCACCAGTCAGCTAGCCTTGACTGTGCTTTGTTGCAACTTGTGTGTGTTTTGTTGTCTGCCTTTTTGCCTTCTCCTTCGCCGTTTGCCGTCGACATTTGCCACGGCACCCTTAGCCGGCCAATGAATCGACCAGCAAACCAACCACCGCTACAACAACAAAATGTGACATGCCACAACAACAGCAGTGGCAGTAACAATAACCGTACCAACAACAACAACTTTTGAAAAAAGGAGATTTGTGGCACGAATGTATGTATGGTAAAAGAGTGGCGTGTTGCAAGTGTGTGTGTCGCGTTGCAAGTGTGTATGCGTGGCAGAGCGTTTCAATTTTACTTGAAATACTGGTGATGATCAGTGCGGAGAGTCAGTTCACTCAGCGACTTTAACGTGTTAGGAACATTTTCCTCGGAGCAAAAGAAAACGAAACGAAACTTTTAAAATTAGAAATCTAGCGAACGCGCGCCGAAACGCACGACAACCGATTTGGATTATTTCGGAACGTTTTTGAACACTTCAATAATTTTCGAAATCTAACAAAACTGAAAAGGTGCAAGTGTATAAAATTAACAACAACAACAACTTATAATGCCTTAGCGGCGGAGTGTGTTTCAGAAAAAGCAAAACGAAGAAGAAGAAGAAAAAGTGTTACAAGTATTGAAAACAAACGTAGTAACTTCAACGAAAACTACTCGCGTGTAGTCACCGAAAATTTGGATTAAAACCACCACAACAACAACACAGAAACAATTAAAAGCTGGCACAACACGAGGCTTGTGCAACCAAGCTGCAGTTCTTGCCACAATTTGTTAACACACGTAATCTCAAAATTTGCGCACCCACAATGCACTTACCGGCTGGTCCCACAATGGTCGCTGCGCCCGCGCAACTCGCCAACGGTCCCGCGCCGCCTAGCGCGGTGCCACATGCGACCAGCGGCGCGCCCACACATATGCCCAGCTCGGCCAGTTCGACGGGCTCCTCCACACCGGATAACAACAGCAGTAATAACAACAACAACAATAACAGCACATCGGCGAAATTGCCGCCCTCCATGACCGATATGTTTGCCAGTCTACACGAAATGTTGCAAGAATATCACGGCGAATTAGCACAGACCGGTTCGCCATCGATTCTCTGTAGCGCTTTGCCGAATCATTGGCGCTCCAATAAGTCGCTGCCGGGCGCTTTCAAAGTGATCGCTTTGGATGATGTGCCCGACGGCACACTGGTCACCATCAAATGTGGCAACGATGAGAACTATTGCGGCGAATTACGTAATTGTACGGCGATTATGAAGAATCAAGTGGCGAAGTTCAATGATTTGCGCTTTGTCGGACGTTCGGGGCGTGGCAAATCATTCACGCTGACCATCACTATCGCCACGTACCCGGTGCAGATAGCGAGCTACACGAAGGCGATCAAAGTGACCGTGGACGGACCGCGGGAACCAAGAAGTAAGCAAAGTAAGTTTTTAGTTTGTTTTCGCTTCAGTTGGACACTTTTGTTGCTTAGCTTTATTTGACTTTCGACCACTTACCACAAAACTTTTCGGACTGCTTTACTGTTTTCGCTTTAATTAGCTTCCGTGGACTTACTAGAAATCTTTTAGCACTGCTTTTCATTTTTTTTTTGTGACTTAGTTTGTTTTTAAATTTCGCATTAACTGCTCTACACTTACGTCTTATCTGTTCTTCACTTAAATTTTTATTTTTTTACCCTTACTTTCCTTTCTCTTGATTTCCTATATTTATTCGTCTGTTCTTTTCTGTTTTTCCGTAGGTTATGGCTACCCACATCCCGGCGCTTTCAATCCTTTCATGCTCAATCCTGCTTGGCTCGACGCCGCCTACATGACATACGGCTACGCGGACTACTTCCGCCATCAGGCCGCGCTACACCATCCCGCCTTGGCAAAGAGCTCACCCACATTGCCCACAAACGGCAACACTGGCGCTACAGTCGTACCGCCACCACCACCACCTGCAATAAACGATTTCCACTCCGCACAATTGACACCACCGCCGGTAGGCGCGCCACCTAACACCGCTCTCGGCATGATACCCTCACCGCCTGGTTCCTCATACAGCGTAGGTATGCCACAATTCCCCTTCAATCCTGTCGCGGCGGCCGCCTTTCATCCATACAACCTCGCCGCCGCCGGCCTGCGTGTGCCCAGCCACAATCTGCACAACACATCGATCGGCAGCTCGCATGGCTCAACGGAACACATCAGCCCCGTGCACATAAGTCCCGCCTCGTCGCGTCCCTCATCATCTTCGCCACCCGCACACGCACATAACACCAGCACCACCAGCAGCAACCACAAAGCCAACACCTCGCTGGAGCAGTCGCTATCCGATGCTGATCCCGATGTCGATTCGGATGATGAACAAATTGACGTTGTTAAATCCGCTTTCGTGCCCATACTACGTCCACCAATTGTGCCGCGCACGCTGCCGTCCGCCGTTGAGGAGTTGGAGAAGTCACAACAGAAGACGCAGCAGCCTCGCATGCGTTGCGAGTTGAAAGCGCCCTCCGCAATGAAGACGCAATGTCAGACGCGTCAAGTTTCGCCTATCATAACAGCCGCTACCAAGCTGAAGGCGGCAGTGAATGCTACAAAAACCGTATGGCGTCCCTACTGAAACCCCACACACTCCGCCGTCGGAGTTGTTCTACAAACTATATGGAAAGCAGCGCGCAGCAGCGGTGGCACCGATTAGAGTTGAACGCTCTACTGCATTGGCGCTACCGAGCAGCAGCAAATCTGTACAAAACTTGAGACGCGCGCCGCCACTTGTATGGCACTTGTGGTACGCATACGAAAATGCCGACGGCAAATGCGTAGCAAGCGCAAACGTTGGGACGGTGTTCACGTGCGGCACAAGAACTTATGTGGGATCTCTTAGACGACTCCAGCGCTCCAGCTTTTCCACACATACGCACACACACACCGTTACGCACCTACTGCCGCACGCACTTGTGATAAAGTTTTGAATTATTTCGCATAATTCGCCCCGTCTGGAGCAGAGTGGAGTGTAGTTGAAATATTTTGTGATATAGTGTTAAGTTTTACGAATGTGGCAAACGAAAAAGGCGAAAAATAGAAACACGACAATGTGTGCCATTGTGGCATGCAACAAGGACATCAGCGCGGTCGCTGATGTCGCTGCTGTTGCGGCGATGCTTTGGTGGCATGGAAATTAGCATATTTAAGCACCGGTTTACTCAAATGTACCTACTTCCTTCACACACACACACACACATACACAAACGAGCGCAAGCCTCTCGCACACACACACACACATACACATGAAAGCAAATTGTCTTTGCGTAAAATTTTTTAGAAAACGCTTGTATTCGCATCATTAAAGGAAAGGTCCATCGGATTTGGTAGTTGCCGAGATTCAACAGTGTATACACACATACATGCGCACGCAAATATCACAGGCGCACCCATATGTTTGTGTGGGCGTGTCTGCGCTTTGTTGAATCTATGCAAATACTCGATTTAGTTTGGAGAAATGCAAACATAAATTTGCCAGTGTTATCGGGCACAGCATATTAATTTACTTTTGATTCTTTAAAATTGCAACCAATTCGATGTTTGTAAATATTCTCTTAGGCTTAAGTTGCAAATGGAGACGTTTGTGTTAACTGTATATATGTACATACGTATGTTTGTTTTTTTATTATATGAAATTTTTTTTTTTTTTTTAATTAAATTTTTAAGTTTTATTGCAAATGTTTAGTGTTAAGTTGTTGGCCGAAGTAAAGAAATAGAAGAAGCGAAAACAAAACTCAAATAACTAACGAATTTCTTGCGAATAGTAAAAAACACAAAATGAAAAAAACTCAGAAAATATATTTTTCCAAAATCATAAAAAGTAATAAAAATGTGGTTTTCAATTTCTACGGGGTGTTCGGGGTGTTCACGGTGTCCTCTTGAAGATAGTTGCAATAATGCGTGGAGCATGTGAATTTGAAAATTTTTGGTGTGATATTTTCAGGTTATGTTGTTGTTGCAGAGGGAGCAAATATTCACCAAGTAAGTTTGTGTAATGTTGCCAAGTTGACAGCCTTTGTACGGGTAAAAGTCCGCGTACGTTCCGGACTGTCGTGGAAACGGCATCATTTATCAGCTAGTTACCTGCTGCTATGGTATAGCCATAGATAAGGTTTGACTCGACTCCTCAATCGTCTCAGGATGCACATGATTTTCACATAATCGCCCAAAAAAGGCGTTCAGAGAAAGTCAAATCTGGTGATATTTTGTGTAATATCGCTGAGTTGGTCGGGTAAAAATCCGTGTTCGTTCCGGTTACGTAGACCCGACTGTCGTCTGAATGGTGTTTCCACGCTCATCCTCAATATATTATATTTCATTATATATTGAGATTCTATTACCCAACTCACTTAGAAAAGAACGCGTTTCCTGTTAAAAAAAAACACTGAAAATTGTTTACTTTCTTTAAATATCTCCTGCGATATAACGCAAATTTTATCGCGAAGGTTTACCTCGAGCTCGTCAACAGTCTGAAGATTGCTGGTGACTACTTTGCTCTTTAAATAGTCGCCCAAAAAAGAAGTTCAGCGAAAGTCAAATCTGAAGATCTGCATGGCCCTGTAATATGTAAATATAAATGTGACCTCTTTTAGACATCATATGTGCTGGAAATTTTAGTTTCAGAACCTAGTATAGATAAAAGTTTTACATAGCGCATCAAATAATTGAAATTAGTAAACGAGAAAACCTTTTTAAAACATTTTGAGGCAAACATTATGAACCAACATCCATAAATTACCAACGAGCTTTTCGATTTGTTGGAAGAAAATATATTTCAAAATTTGTTTTAACAGCAGCTCCAGATTAATTCAGCGACATTTTGGTCATCCAATGACGCTTTATAGAACACGAGTATTTTTTCTGCTTCGTATACGACGGATATTGAAAATCTTGGGTGTATGGGGATAAGTTGCACCGACGGACGGTTAGATGTTAGATATGTGGTCTCCACTAGTCCGAATACTGAGCAATTACCTAGACGGCGGAGACGTTTAACTGAGAATTATGGTTAGAGTTTTGTGTGAATGGTGTGGGTGTGTAATGTGCACACACTAATCACCAGTCCAGAGCAGTTTGGAAGTTCAACTGGTGGTAGTTTCGGTTACGAAGGCTGATCGGAGACGTAATTCTGTTAGCATGTGGAGCAGAAGCCCTTAGAGTTCGCCCCAATCCGTTCGTCACTGTAAGCTGCATATACTTTTACTTGTCTTACATAGCAGATCCACAGTCTTCGTTTCCTTATATTTGAGCAAAGTAGACTTGCTTGGCTTGGATGTATTGCATATATTTCAAATCATATGTTTAAGATGACAATTCTCTTCTTGACGATTTTGAAGCTTACAGACTGATTTGACTTCCATTGGTAGTGGAAATTAGGCAGAAGAAATTAAAGGGTGATGTTTTTTAGTTGCTTGTAGAACTTGTGAAAGCAATAGAATATCCAGCTTATATATGTATTTATAACCAGCATATGGCGAGACCCTATATAGCTCTCAAAGTACGCCTATAAATTCGAACGATTCAATTTTAAACTTTACCATAATTTAAATGAGTTTAGATAATTTTTCTACCAAACGCTAACTTATGATCAATTCTGACTTTAAGATGTGACTCCTTTAAGAGATGTTTTTGGAAATTATATATCTCAGCATTTTCTAAATATTGTTAGAGGTTTTGCGTGCTTAACACTTTGATCGGAAATACCATCAACATTAGACTTCGCAATTGAACTTACTAGAGGGTTGTCACTTGAGTATACAACGCAAGAGGTTTAGTGAGGCTTACAGTTGTATGGTTTATAGAGGTCGCAGCTTGCTAAATTAGTATTCAAATAAACTGTTCAAATAAATTGAATATTCATTATGTGCTTCAAATTTCTGCAGATTTTATGACATTTTTGTAAAAAATATTTTTGGAAAGAGTTGCCACTTGTTTTTAATTAATTTCTATCACTAGGTTGAATTACTTACATCAATAATAATAATGAGTATCCAACTAAATATCAATGGTTTAAAGGGATGCCACCTGATTCGATTTTAAATTCATTTAAATTCATAAAATATTTTAAATATTATACTAGTGGGTATTGATTTATGCACGTTTAATGAAGATTTTTGAGATAATATATTTTGAGAAGTGTTGCCACCTGTTTGATTTTTCAAGTTAAAAAAAAAAAGATAAACATATTAAGTAATACAATATTGGTGTCAAATAAAACGAAAAGTTTTGAGAAAAAATATTTTAAGATTTGTTGCCACTCTTTTGATAATTCAAGTTTATCAGAAAAAACAAGAGATAAAATATAATATTATATATTAAGTAACACATTACTCATAACGAATAAATCTTTATTAACTAAAAATTTAAAATTGATAAGCAAATTACCAAAGTAAAATTTTTAATGCACCCTAATGTAAATACTAGTATCCTTGAACCACACAGACACACCGTTAACGTTAAAAAATTCAAGTTTTTAAATTTAAAATCCTACAGTTAGCAGTTAGTAAGTGAAATTTTATACCAAAATGCTCGACGACCCCCCTCCGCCGAGTGCACACCGAATGTGTAGAGAACATTTTTCACTCGACCACAGAGCATTACTAATATGAATGCACAATAAATGAGTGGTAATGAATATAGATAATCACCAATTATTGAAAAGCCATACAAATGCACACGTTAACGGTACCGAGCCGCGGGCGTAGGTCATTAATGTGTTAATTTCATGCGACAACAGCAATTTGACATTTAACCAAAATGTCATGCCACCAGAATGCTGTGATTTCGAGCAACCGTTGCTGGAAAAAAAGGTTAGATATTAAACTAACAACAACAAAACCAAAAGAATACATGAAGAACTAAATTACACACACACACACATGCACCAATGGTTAATGCTGCAACAACGCGCAGTTGGAGATGCGGGCCACCCACCTGCCGCAGCACGCGGGTAATGTGCATATGTATGTGTGTATGAGTATGTGATAAAGTATACGAGTATGTGTGTGTGTGTGTTGCGTTGAAGAATCGCACAAATTTGATGCAATTATTTCACACAAAACGGCATAACGACCTCAATTAGCAATCGCTATGGCCAATATGGCGAACGGTAATGGCCATCAGGCATCAACCAGCAACTAGCCACCGGCCACCCGCCATCGCACAACAATCAAGCGAGCGGCGCGCATTAGCCGTTTAGCAAATAGTCAATAGTCAATGTGATACCAAGCATCAATGGGTTTTTGCATGAGTGTGTGTGTGTGTGTGTGAGGGTGTTTGTATTCGTAATTTATACTAACTAAATCGTTGGTATCGGAAAAATGACATGGTTAGTTAGCAATTTAAGGCGTAACGCAATAAAAACCACAGCGTTGGCCACCCTGTTGAGGCGCTGCTCGCTGCTGAGTGCGAGACACTCCGAAAACCACACAAAGCTACACGAATATATACAAACCAAACGCATATAGAGATATGTATAACTGTATGAATATATACTTATATATAGAGCTACATATAGACACCTATGATCATCATATAAACCAACATTTGGTCGCCATTGCGGTTTCGGAGGCATTGTGGCAGCGTTGAAGTTAACAAAAAAATGTTGTCTCTCTCGTTTGGTGGCATAGGTACATCAATGTGTGCAACACTCACACCGTAACCTTGAAATAGATGATATCATGTAGTCACTACACGTATATTTGTACGGAGCTATGCACTGCTGTCGTAGATGTCCTTGACTATCAACCACTAAATTGTGGTTTTGTTGCGGTCTGAGAAAACTTGCTTTAATTTAGAATTGGTGTTTGCTTGTTTTGATTTGTATGAGCTCTCTTTTCAAATGAAAAATAAAAAGTTAATAGAATTGTACTGCTTTAGTGATTTATACACTACTTAAGCATAGTTGAACTTGTGGAACACTTCGAAAAGGAGAAGAGTTTTTAACTTTTCTCTTCTAAAATATGCGATTTGTTTATTACAAGAGGTATATAAATAATTAACAACTTTTTTCATGAAGAAAATATAGCCTCATCCTTATAAAATGCCAACAAGTTTGATTTAAATATAGCTCAATTTATTAGTTTCTGAAAATTTCCTAAAGAAATGTTTTTGCAATAAATTTTTTCGTCCAATTATTTTCACCAACTTTCGAAGAGCAATAACATGATACACAAAGCTTTATGTACTGAAATCCTTTTACGTTGAAAAAGTCCCACTCTTTAATATGCTGAACAGCTAGAGAACACTATCAATTTCCCTCTGGGCGCTGTTCACTAATCGACGAATTCGGTGAAGGTCGTTCAAAAACTGTTATTGCACCATAAACCAATGAACAAATCAGCCATATTTTATTATGATAAAAATCCATAAGTTTTTGCATTATTGACTTATATTCTGTTTGTGAAATCACACTCAAAAAGAGACTCGAGTTAGTTAAAGGAATTTTTTATGAATTCTAATCATCTTGTGATGAATTTTTTGCAAAGGATTAATAATAGCTCTTAGCCTATCAAAACTTTAGCATCGTTTTTAAGCCTGTTCCCAAAGCCACTAAACCTTCATTATGAAAAGGGACCCCTAATGAACGTCTTTAATATTTTGGTGAAAGATTTTTATATTGACAAAAAGTCCTCAGTAGCTAGTTCAAAAAAGACTTCATAAAGCTCCGATATCTAACAGAGGCATAATTGAGGTTTTATTTAAAAAGGCGGGCTGATTTTATGAGCGTGAGACAATAGTTGTATCAGGATTTAGAGAACAACAGAGCTGTCAGCACAGTCTT